CAATATTTCAATTAAATGCATTTAAAATATGTATATTTAAAATGCATTTTGTATTTGATGTGCATTTTCAAAGTATTTTCAAAATACAAACAAAAAAAAATTAATTAATTCTCACCCTTTTAAATTTTAGCCCAGTAACTAAATATTAAAGAGTTATACTCTGTTATATAACTATGAACTATATTCTAGGCTACAGGTATACCCTAAAAGTATATATTATATACGTCATAGTCTCGATTATCTACATCACGTTTTTAATATGTAAAAAGTATCGAGCGAGGACAGATGAGTTGTACAGTATTTAATAATATTATTTTTTAAAGGAATCAATGTTTTTTAAATTAGTGATGAATATCATATTTAACCTTTAAAAAAGCTATAAGTTTATCATAATAAATATATATATATTAGCTGATCCTACACAACGTTGCTTGTGACATATTAGATGCACGTAGATTCAACAATTCAAAAACTTCGTCAAATGTAAAGTGCACAAATTCATAAGTTGTTTTGATTAAATTTAAAATACATGTCTAAGATTATATCAAATCATAATAACTATTATATTTTCTACAACCGACGGCAACAATATATAAATAACATAAAGATTGCTTTTCGCACATCACTATACACTCAACATTTGTGTGTTGAAAGGAAAAGAAAAAATAAGTAATAAAAAATAGCCAGTTATACGATAAATCTAACTGAATCTACTAACGACAATTTTATGAAAATCGGTCAAAAACTGTGGATTTGCATAATGTTCATCCGTTTTAGCCTTTAGGCCTTTGATTGTATTAAGTAGATAGTTGTAAAACTTGACTTTACTCAGGAAATTGAACAAATAAAAAATACAGCGCTATATAGGTGTATCTTAGTTATAGTTTATCTCTGTTCTCCGAAAAATCGGCGTCAATGTACCTATAGCTTTGTGAAATAATTTGACCCAGATAGGCAACCACAAATCACGGATTGGATTTAACGCTGAATGCATTTTTTGACGTAGTTTAAACTACTCCCTAAACTTGTATGATATCTCTAAAAATAACCTTTGACATTTTCATCAAAATTAATTTACCAGTTTTTGAGTGTTTACTTCTACAAACATACATTTGATTTTAAGAGATGGTATTTTTGATCGAGGCCATGTGAACGTGAACCTTTGATACATGCTTCTACCTCATCTGCCCGAGTACCCAATGGCAAGTATTTAAATACTTTGAAAAATTATCTACTGGGTTCTCATTTGAAAAGCGAAAGTTTTTTATCTCCGCGGGATACCCCTTAAGTAGTACAAAAAATCTCAAGAATTTGAAAACATGGTCATAAAATATATTTCAAAATTTCGAAAATCCGATTAAATATCTGTATTACTAAAGAAAAATGTTGGCAAGCATGCTTGTAGATTCACTCTTTACATAAATTATATTATATACAATTATTTTTTAAAGCATATAATGAATTTATCGTAATTCATATCATTTTTTTTTTAAACTTAAAATTAAAAAGCATTTTCAAATTCATATTTTATGTTTAATATTTTTCACTTAAATTTAATGTATTCTGTATTTGAAGTAGGTACACAAAGTGATGTTATTTTCTCGCCTCTCGCGCATACAAAATAATTATTCGATCAATTCGTTTGCTGTATAGGATTATCACATTTAAATTATGAACTGCTTTTGCAATAATCAATTAAACGGTAGTAGGGGAGTTATGTGTTATTATAATATGTTTCAAAACATTTAATGTACATCGAGTTGAACTACTAAATTGTTTACAAGTTATGCATATATTTAAAAATGGTTCTCGTTAAAATAACATTATGGTCCTCGTTACTTTTGACTTACCATATTGCGTAAGATAATATTTAGATAATTCGTTTTAAAAGATAAACACACCGGTTTATATGCGTTCTCTATAGAGTTCAAACCAACCAACGTAGTTTTTTTTTTACTAATCTGTAAGATCTATATAAGTAAATGCATTTTGTACTATATACAATACATTTTAAAACCGGACTACCATATTATATACACTGAGTCTCCTAAGATAATAAACTAAAACGGAATGAAAACAAGAAGAAAAATACTATTCGTCGCATAAATGTTTTCTTTTGAGTATATTAAGAAATGGTAAACGCAGCTCATTCAAAAACTTCTTTACCGGTGACCTTTGGGAAGACGGTAGTTATATGTTCAGTTGTTTCCATTTTCCCGATCTGCACAGTCTACGTTAAATAGGTAACACCTTATCGCGAACACGCTGTATACACCCACTCGCTACAACGACGTTATTATCATCACGTGCCAGAGGAACAGACGAGTCCTGCTGATGATTCGCTTACTTCAACTTCGCTTTAAAGCACTCTACAGTCTGTACGGTGGAAAATGAATGTAAATGACTCGTTATTGTAATAGTATCGTACTTTGTACTTGGGTGGGCGAAACCATCACGAATCACCAAGGAGAGAAGTGCCGCAGAGGCTCACACGAGAATCGAAACAACAATATATGACACTACCTACAGTGGCACCCTTAGCTATATTTCTGCCTATATCAGATATTATAAATGCAAGTCAGGTTGATCGCGTACCTCTTGCGGATTTCGTTTGCAAAAACGTTCAGTTTGCTTTTGCATGCCGACGAGAAATGATGTGAGTCGAGTTTATTCATTATACATACTTGATACTGTTACATAATATTTTTTACCGTTTGGATGTTGAGAATACATTTTTATTGAAGCAAAAAAACAAAGAATCTATTTAAAAATAATCAAGCAATCATATCAATATATTGTATGTATAACGTCATTCCTATCATTATTTCATAACATGAATTTCGTAAAATATGACGACACATACATAACTGTAAGACGTTTAACTTATTCGAGCAAACGGGATAATTCATTTTGACCTTTTTTTTGTTCATAAAATTGAATTTTATGTACCTATATTATTAGTTATTACTGTGTAATAAATATTTTCATAAAAGTAATTTCAAAAAGAAACCAAAATATTGATTTAAAATACTTTAACTAATGTGTAACTAATTATATGTTGTTCTAACAGCTGTACATTTTACATCATACAGTTCTTTATTCCAGAAGGTGTACCCTGTTTTTACAGATTAGTAAATTTTATTGAAATTCCGAGTACGAACAAAAATGTTCATTCCATTCTCTGAAAATATCCTTTCATGAATAGATTATTGAATGTTCAATTAATAATGACCATGTTCAATTCGCTTAAAAATTTAAAAAAGCTTATTAAAAATTAAAACAATGATTTTCATTTCAAATTTTAATTTTCTTCAATAGAAAAAACATGCAGACGTGTTCAGAATAATAAAAAAAAATTTTGAAGAGTACCTACATTTGTTACAATAAAAAATTATTTTCAACAAAAATAACACAAGTACACAACATACAAAAAAATTATATGACTTATAAGTTATAAGTATAATATATAAAATATATTATAGCTTATTCAAATCGTTCTCTGTAACAAGTTTTCATTTTTAAGTAGGTAAGTACTCTCGAAACGCTTCAAGCTTTCCAATCCATCTGCCTGCGGCCATAGTAACGTCTTCTCCTTGATACTTCAAAAACAATAATCTTCAAAGAGACCTAAAAATTCCTACCCTTAATCAATTAACAAAATTATATTACTTTAAAGTTTAAATTTCATACTAACTTAAACTCTCATAGTAACCCATTAATCAAACAACTATCCTCCATCTCACTTCCCGGTAATGTATGTTGAAGACTCAAAAGACAGTGGCCTAGGGACATACTAAAAAAAAAAACATTAAAAAAAAATAATAAACACAATAATACTTAAAATATGCCAGGTCGGGTGGCACTGCTGAAGTGCCCACCCATAAAATATGATAATCTCCTGTCATTAACCATTATCATTATTAACCACTATCAAAGTTGCTTATTAGTTATTACTTATTATACTAATTATATTGTATAGATTGTAAATAATTTTAATAATAAAAAAAAGTTAGTAATAAAAGTTGGTACAATGGTACGTAATATTTATATCTTATTTTTTTACTCTTATTACACACAGTTGACAGTTGCAAACACTAAACTTTATACGAGAATAGAATGTTGATAAAAAATGCTGTTGTCAGTATCTGCTTCGATAGTATATTGACTGTTTTTTGTTGTAAATGTATTGACAATAATGCATCTTCAGCTTTAGTTATACAGGATTAATCTATCTTGATTTTATACTGAATAATATCAATTTTTCGATCAGGTTAGATCATGTTAGGTCACACAGATGCACTCAGATTTTAAAAGCGGACCTTCTTTTTTAATTGACCAAAAACAATTTAAGCAGCCAAAATTATTAATTGCATGATTAACTACAGATATGCTGTGTTGTTGACTGTTGTCACTACAATGGCTGTAATAATGTAATATAAATGCATTTCAAATTGAGTAACGTTAACATTTCTATTTACATTTATTTATTGATTTTGAAAACATTAAGTTTTACTGTTACTACCTATCAGACTTTGAATGAATTAATTGTATTGCATAAAATCATAGAATACGTCTTGATCAATTTGTCTTAATTTAACACAATATATTGTACAGAAATAATGATAAAAACAGTAGTAATAATAATTTGGAATGATTGACAATAACCGCGAGTCTGTAAAATTGAATTATATATTATTATTATTATGTAATTCGTGAAATATATTTTACAATATAAATAATTATATATTTTTTTAATTCATCAACTTGACTTATTGTTGTTTTTTTTTTTTATCAAATCCATATTTCAAGTTCGTATGTATTTTAAGAGAGATAAAGTTTAAATTCAAATAATTAAAGTAATTGGGTTTGAACACGCCCCTCCCCTCAAACACCGTTTGTACGCCACTGCGGAATCGCATTCGTGCGTAGTATTTGATTATTTTCAAACAGGCACTTTGGAATTAAGTATTTATTTTGTTACAATATGTATTTGTTTTCAGTGAGAATGCACGTGTTACACGAATTAAATTGGACGAAATTAGTATACGAACCGCTGCACAAGTTTGAGACTCAGATCATATCAACAAAAAACATACAAGGATACGACAGCAAGAACACGGAACAGTGGTCATTAACAGGCGCGCTATTATACTCGGTCACAGTTATCACGACAATCGGTAAGCGTTACACGTGTTTCTCGATTGTATATCTTATAAATTATAATACTTTTGTGTGATTCGTTATCGTTACGGTAAAATGATTTCGAATTAAATTCAAAACTGAAAGCTGCATCACGTAGTATGCGTTTGACTCCGTGCGGGTGAGACGTTTCCGACAAACTTTCATTTTGAACCGATCATCTTATGAACTTTTTTTTGTTTAATGTCTCTGATTGGAATCATTTCTATTTAAATTAAATAAAGATTGTTTTTTAAAGTTTACACACAAAGTGTGCTGCTTAGCTAGGTTTGTAAAACCAAATTGACATTTTAAATATGGAATAAAACAATTATAGTGTTTGTAACTAAAGTGGTTTATGTAAGTGATTTCAATAAATTACCAAGAGGAGTTTGGGTGAAATTTCTTTTTTAAAGAGATGGCATAAGCTATTTAAATTATGTGATTTAATTATCTAAACCATACAATTATAAGTAAAGCAATCGAATTGTGTATCAACCCTCGAGATAATAATGGATTTAAAACATATAACTATTAAAAGGTATTACTATAGTAGGTATGATCATTTATTTTTATTCATAGAAAAAAATAGGCAAAAATGTTTAATTTATTATAATGATTTAACTTTTTTAAATTATAATGCTATATACATTTTGTATCATTTAATTCTTTTAAAATAAACCAGTGAACACATTAACAATATTTTTTACTATAATTAACTGAGTATATTGTAGATTCTCTTAAAACAAGTGCTGTTAAGTTGAACATATTAATAAACTGAGTAATATTAATATTTAATTGGCTCGTTAATTTATATTATAATAAGTAATATTAATGTTGTAATGTGTTTTAATACTTTTGTCGTTACCCATACATTTTAGATGCTTTTGTAACTTTGGTTTGAATAGAAATTATGCAGTATTATCTTTATTAATCAACAAGGTAGGTATGAAGACTACAAATGATGAAAAAAAGGTAGAAAAGTACCTAGTTATACTTAATAATACCACTGTTTTAAGTTATATTCGACAAAAGGGTGTGTCTAATTTATTCAAAACAATACAATTACTAATAATAATAAAATATTAATATTTTAATTTAAGGTTTTTAATGATATTGAGTACAAAAAGTTAGGGTGTAATAATAGTATAAAAATCGACAAAACAAATTATCAAATTCATCTCAGTTACAAGATATTAGATAATTTAAGTACCTACTCAATTTCTTACGAAAGGTACCTAAATTAAAATGTTTCTATAATGCTGTATAATATACGATATTTTAATTGTTATCTTAAAAAGATTTACTGTAATATTCAATTTTATATCAACTAAGGAGTAAGAACATTCGAAATTTAACTAAACTGTTAAATAAACTATCAGATATTAATGTACTACAGTGTTTAAGTGTCTCCTCGTTACTTCCACTGAAATTAGTTTAGCAAATAACTGCAAACTATAAATAAAGTAAATATTCATATCAGTTATAGTGTTATTTATACACTCTTCGGTTTGGTTCTATAGAAATTAAAAAAATTATACAATTTACAAAAACATTAAGTAAATCTTTAAAAGGTGGTCTAAGCTCTTAAAACATCGTGTAAGAATGTAAATATTTAAAAGAAATGTAAGTATACAAATAAAATAAAATAATATATAACAATGTATTTGAAAATAATAAACTTTCAAAGTATTTCCTAAGTTGAATAAAAACCCCATGAATAAAATCTAAAGGTTGTTTACTTTTAAACATACGTCTTAAATTTTTATCCACTTGTTTTAATGTTTAAATAGTTATTGAAACTATATAAAAGATAAACACAACATTTATTACTCCCCTTATAAACTTAACTTCTCGGCAAGGAAAAAAAAACTATTTGTAACCAAATAAAACTCAGCACAACACAAAAGAACATGCAAGATACCCAAACGAGAGAAGGTGTTTGACGTTTTTATAAACGAAATATTGGGACAACATTTTTAAGGGGTATCTATATATGTGCTACTATATAACTCTAATTGCATAAGCTTTAAATAATTTAATTAGGTAGATATTTAATAAATGTCTTGTTTAAAATTGGATTTTCACACTCCAAAATCCTTAGCAAAAAAACATTTTTCTCCTTAATATGAAATTAAAAATCCTTTTGCCATGGAAAAATTATTATATTCAAGCATAGATTATTTTTTTACTTGCTGATATAAAATATTCTTGAGACTATAATTTGCATTTTATGAATAACTATTGCTTTTTTATCTTGTGACCAAATAAGATTGTTTTCTATTAGATTCTGATAATTGTTGTAGCTTTTTTTCGGTTAAGGTACGTTTGACATGATAAAACTATAAGTTAAAACCGTTTTTGTAATGTTATAATAAAATGGAAACAAATTTCGAATTGTATTTATGTACTTTCCATAAATTGCCTTTCTTACGTTCCAACAATATTCATCAATAGAGATTACAGTTAAATATTAAATATCCATAAATAATAAAATGAGTTTGACGTGTCAAAATTACTTATAATCTTCAAAAACATTTATATTTGTTAGTAATAAAATACTGATAGTTAAGAAAATTTAATTTGGAAAACAATTATTTCAATGATTGTTTTTAATTAAATATTTAAGTAATCTGTAAAGATTAAAAATAGTTTTTTTTTGTTTCCCCTTAATAAAATAATGCATAAAACAAAGTGCCTAAATACTTTTGATTTATAATTGTGAAATTAAAATTTTAGAATAATTCATTGATTTACAATTTTTCTTGTTATGGCAATTATTATTGTTCAGAAAAATTAAATCCTTAAAATGGGTAAGATTGTACAAACATAAGGTTAATGATATATTTTTTTACAATACCATGGTGGTTCATTTAACTTGCTATTAAACGAAGCATATAGCATATTTGCTACATGCAGTATCTCTCAAAGCATATTAATGTTTTTTAATTTTTTTTTATATATGATTTGATGTCATCACGTCTTTCAGTTTTTTTTATAACTGAAAAGAACTAATAAAATGGGTTTATTTGAATAACTTGGATCTTATATAATTATTATGTATTCATAATACAAAATGACTTTACTTTACTCATATAGTCTATACAAATTCTTAAAAATATATTCAAAAAGGCAAAATTTAAATAACTAAGATAAAAAAAAGTAAAAATTTCATTTTCTTTCAACAAATATTTTCTATAATTATACAGCTATGTAAAAAAAAATGTACGTAATATTTTCAAGATGATGAGTGTTTACTGTTAAAATAATGATATTTTATAATATTGTGATGTATCTCATAATATTGATGTAATGAAGACACCAATATTTTAAATTTAATTTTTCAAAATATTATGTTAACCTGAATCGTTCATAAAACGTTTCATCCCTAAAATCCCTTTAATATATTTATTCATTCAACGAGTGTGTTTTTTTTTTCAGGCTACGGTAATTTGGCACCAAAAACACCAGAAGGCAAAATCGTAACTATGGTCTACGCGTTATTCGGCGTGCCGCTAATGTTGCTGTGCATATCCAATCTGGGGTCCCTGTTGGCCGGCACTTTCCAGTTCGCGTACTCCCATTCGTGCTGTTTCTCCAAGAGGAAATCGGGTAAGGGAAAAAATTGCATTTAAAAAATAATAATAAAAAAAAAAAAAACGTACCAACCGTTGTATAGGGTTAAAAACGTAATATTATCACGTCTGCAACGTACACCTCTATAAAATATATATACGCATATTATGTGCTGTATGTATTCGAGTGCAACCCCCCCCCCCCTCCCTCCTCCCCAACCACCACATCCAATCGACCCTACAAAAATCACGGATATCACGTGCGTGGGTATAATGAAGTTCCGCTTCGACTTGATTGAATACCGAGACGGTGTTATATAACTTTATACATACCTACACACACGCGCACACACATAATATTATATTATATACACGTATGTGTGTTACGCGCATATATAGGTAAGCGGTCCGTGTGCATTATCAATTGTAATATCGTTAATGGGTTTTCATATTTTAGCTCCTCCCCCGCGAACATCGAGCAAAGTTTTTTTTTCTGTGTAAACGCCGCGCAAGTACATTATTATAGTACACCAAGCCCGCATTATTATACATAAATAGTATATTATACGTATAGGTGTGTTGTAGTAGGTGAACGCGAAAATCTAATTTCGAGACCAAAACATATTTTTCTTGCAGATAATATTACTCTGACCTTTTCGCGTTCCCGTACACTGTATTATAATACATATACTGCTTTATGGAAGATTACTTAAAGAAAATTTCACGGTACGCCAAAGGTTTTTTTTATGACTGTATGCGCGCGTGTGTGGTGTGTTTGTTCAAAATATTACGCAAACTAATATTCCATTGTTAACACAAGGTATTAAATAACCTGAAGCGAAAAAATGGCTCGTTTAAAATATATTATCTGGGTGTATAATGGACTGAGTTATTTTTTCCGTGTCGATGACGAACCCATAATATTCCATACGCATGCGTGCACAGTGTGGTTGACATTTCTTTACCGTGATAGGATAACAACCTGGAACCTAATACGAAATGAAATCCATCCCCGCATTAGAAACTATATATGTTTATAACAACAACAAGAAAACTATACGGAGACAATTTGTTTAATTGTGTCGTACTTAGTTTTCTTTGATTATCACCAATCAATTATCTGTCATATTTTCATTACCTTAATATTGAACTTAGTCGGCAATCAAACATAACTATCGATGTGTGCCAAACAGGCGTGGGTTCGGAGGGGGTGCTAGGATTGCTACAGCACCCCCTTGGCATATTGTTACCTGGTTAAAAACAAATATTACATACCATACGTATTTTTCAGTGAGCCGTTTATAAGCTAAATAAGTAACAAAAAAAAAACTATTAAGTAATTTTTTCCTCAAAAATACTGATAAGTGTTAACCAGAAGTGACTGAAAATTAGAACGATACATCACTACCATGGGTATCAGACATGAATATTGTGTCTGGTGCCAAAAAAGCTCAAATGTTTGGATAAGAAATAAAAATCCCTCGACTTTGTGGTCAGCAAACTCAAAGAAGTAATATTATTGGTTTTAAGCCTACGGTTTGGCTTAGAGTTACAATATTTATACAATTTTTGGATTATATTGTACATGTACTTGATTCTAGATTTAATTAAAAATGTAATAATATTATTGCACTAGAAATCCTAATTCCTGCAAACATTAACTTTTATGATACTGATAGTATATTAGGACCGCTAAATTGCATTGTGAAGTTATTGAAGGTTCGGATTTAGAATTGAAAGCGGAAATAAATTTGGGGGAAAAAAAGTGGGCCAACATTCAAAATAATCCACAAACTACTGTTAAGGCATTAGAACATTGCAATGAATTTTTCCCCAACATCAAAATACTATAACAAATTTGAAATTTTTGCCAAGTTACCAGTTTTTACAGCCACAGCAGAGCGTTCTTCTCAACCTTGAAGAATTCGAAAAATGTTTAACGGTCCAATATGTCTGAATAACGTCTAAATGATTTAACCATGTTAAATATTCACAAACAGATAGATATAAACCAAGTAGTTAACACCTTCACTCGGAAAAAAAAGGGGATGGAATTAGAGTATAGGTCGAAATGGCCCGAAAAATTGTTATTTGTTTTTTGTTAATCAATTATAAAGAATTAAAAAATACAATTAGTGGATGTGATGGACTTTTTATTATTTTATTACAGAGTAGAATTTTTTTTTTAAATAAAGAGATTTTAGTAGTATTTTTAAAGTGTCACTTATGTTTATCCTTTTAAATATTTAGTAGAATATTAGGACTAAAAAAAGGTCGTGCCATCTGGATGGAGTAAATAGAATACAATACCTTAACCGAAGCATCCCCCATAAAAAAAACCTAGATCCACCACTGGGGCCAAATATTAAAGAGTACAGAAGGTTAATCTCGATGTTAATAATTATTAACATAATATGATGAACATAATATGCATATTATTCAGACTGCACATCAACTTTACACTAAGTAATGGTATTCATTCAGTGCTTTGTGTAAAAGTTATTTTATTATTTCGTAGCCTATACATTTTATTGGGTTTCTTAGAATTCAAAAACAGTCAGTAATACAAACGCTGAAGATTAGGTTAATGCTGTTTACTTAGGGTCAGATGAAATGATTTGTGAAGTTGAAAACATTTTAATCTATTCAACTTTGTCTGAGTTTGATTCGAATTTCATAAAAAAAAACATCTTTGAAAAACACTTTTACGAATAATGATAATTCTGCTGTGCAGTAGTATAAATAAGCTTGTCAATGTAGTACTTGTTTTGATAATGAAATTCAAAGTTTTCTTTGTGAACTTAGTAAATAATTATTTATTTGGACGTATTTATAGAAGTTTGGTTTGAGTTGCATAGTTTACAATAGTATTTGAACTGAACAAATAAATATTTTACAACTACTATACAACTAAAGTATTTATTTTTTGTTTTTCGTAGAAATTAAGTTACCAAGTTTTCTATAAGTATGAAAACTTCAATAAATATTTAAAAAGCACCAAATAAGTAGTTTTTTTTTTATTGTAAGACTAATGATAAATCATCATATTCTAAAAAAATATTTTGATTACAAAATACATTTAGGTTCCACATAGTTCATTATTTTCTAACGTGATAATGAATAAAAATATCGTTTAAGACATAAAAATACACAAATATTTCGGAAGTAGGTTTATTATGTTTACCATTGAAAAAAAAATTCTAAATACTTACTCCAATATCCAAGCTTAAATGCAATTGAGTGGTATAAATATATAGTATTTTATCGAGCACTTTATGTAATATACAATACAGCCGTATTGGGAGTTTAATCGGTGTCGTCTCTTTAGGACTTGTCAAATGTCACTTGGTGCATATCACTAGACGTGGGAGGCTTATAAAATGTTTCAAGTTTTAATTCAGAGAAGCTGTAAAATCTAAAAGTTGAATGGTGACCAAATGGATTTGAGGTTTTGGCGACACAAAATATTTCTTCTTTTGGTTCACTGTTTTCACCTGTATTGCAGTCGTAAATTCGAATAGAAATCTTAGTGGTGAGTAATTGTGGAATGAAATTTTTGGCATAGTGCCACTTCAAAAACCAACCAAAAATAAGACGATAAAAAAAAAACAAACAAAAGTTTTCGGTAGAGCATAAATAATTAATCCAATTAGGACGACAGAATTCATCTACTACGATACCGGTGACACTAACTATGATTTATATACATTTCGATTGCTATAGTTTATTAGCCCTTTTTTTTCTTCAGGAGGACACCTGGTAATTTTTTATTACAAAAAGTTTATTATCTCTGCCCACCCAAGTTGTATATTTCAATCTTCTAGTGGCTTCATAATAATATAAATAATCTTATTCTGAAAATTATGAGGTGTTGACAAATATATATAAAAATAAAAGTTACTTTCTTGCTGCTGTTTGAAAACTGAATTATTTTTTTTAGTATAAGAAAATGCATCGCCTGAATTCGTTTTGTGCAATAAATAACGTCATGCGAAAAGTATCTGTCAAGTCTCAGTTTTTTATTATTATTTGTATTTACGCTAAAACGTTCAACTCTTATTTGCTTTTAATGTAGCTGTTTTGTTGTGGAAATAAAAATGAGTAAATAATATATTATTCATATACTGAAATGTGTATGTAATATAAAAAAGAATCCGAGTCTTTGGAGTTGGTGTGGCTGTAGCGTCTCTTTATTTTAAATAAACTGTTATTATTAGCACTCAAAATATTAAATAAAACATATTTTTTTTAAAAATACAAATAAAACTATAACTACAAGACCATATAATATCATATGGCCTTAAAAATATTAAGAAAGATAACACAAATTTGAAACGTTAAATAATCAACGTAAATATGCTTTACATATGAAAACCACTTGTCCTGGTTTATATGAAACTTTAAGATTTCAGTTTGAAAACCAAAAGTTATCGCATTCTATAAACGGTCCTAAATGGAATACATTTTCTAATAAAAATATAAACTCAATTTAGTGTAAAAACACTAAAAACTTTATAAGTCAATAAAAATAGTTGGGCTTTAAATTGTCTTACTTCTCAAAGAGTACGAAAATCTTGTTTTGCTGTACTATGGTAACAATATTGTTTATTTATTTTAGAAAATATGAATTTTTATGCAAAACAGAATATAATGACCTAACATCTTTCTAGAATATTTTTTTTGTTCAGCTAAATATGAATTATAGTTTCAACTAGTTATAGTTAAGATACAATATAAATAGTATTTGATATTTTACTAAATAAAAAGTGAAATACGAGTATTGTGCTATATTTTAAGTTGTATGTAGTTCAAACAAAATATATGCTAAAGCTTGGTATCTTATTATATGATTAATTTGTTGATATTGTTCATAAAACTAATAAAAAATCAGAAGATATCGATACTTGAAAATTCAATATACTATTTGATTGTAGGTTAATTAGATTTATATATGCTATTAAAATGACGACTTTACAATGTTTATTTAACAATTTATACAATGTTATCTCAGTAATGAATCGAAAGAGGACTTAAATA